ACAGAATTCACACGAGGGACTAGTGTTACCTGTTGAAGTTGACACAACTGGCTGCCGGTCACCAAGCCTACCATTTCCAAGCCGTGTGCATATGTGCTTGTGTGAGCAAGCCTTAAATTACTGGAAACACCTGAGCTTCCATTAAAATAAAGTGTGCACGAAGTGAGCATTACTAGGTCCCTGCAATCCATCCAAACTCCAGTTATTTCCCCATCAACAGACCCACAACCCGAAGCTAGACATGACTGCATCCTTTTGGAAGCTACTTCAAATGATTTCACAATATAAGTGCCCACCTTGCAAGGCTGTTGGAACGATTACCGAACACCAGATGTGGGAAACGCTTCGAGTGCTTAGTGAATGCACTTCGCGTTGCCTCCAGGGACTCCACACAGACCCCGCAAAGAAGCATTTGCCCTCCTCCCCTTATATGTCAGATCTCAGGAGCACCTGTTCCATTATTGTAAGGCATTTTAAATAAATTCGATTAAATGCTATGAACATATACTTGATCCTTTTGTGTGCTCTTCAGTCTTGAATACCTCCAAGATCAGGCCTTTAAACCTTTACCCGAATGAATCTTGCCCTCTGTCCCGACTGACACCTCTTTTCACCCAGCCGCTACACTGATTATATTATAGGCCAAACCTAAATCTTTTGTAAGTGCAATTGCCTTTCAGGGGAAAGGCTTCCAGGTAAGTGTACTATGCAGCGCACCTCTGACCATCGTTTGTAATGTCAGGTCCTCTCAATTCGATGGGGCTTTACCTGCGCGTAAATGCGGATTCCATACCTGTAGACTGACCTCTGCACGTGCTTCCCCTGAGTTAATCTGCACTGTGCTCAGTGAACTTTACTCACAGGTAAGTGTGCCTAAGATTTGCTCAAAAGTAACATTCGCTTTTCGTCAATAAGTGCGTTTAAGGCAGGACTGCACGATGAAGACGTTTTGAAATGTAGTTTGTTGCTGGGGCAGCTAACGCGGTGCAGTCCAGATGCTGATTCACTCTCATTCATTCCCATTAACTCTCAACCTGCCTGATCATTGGGATGACTAGGAGTTAGAGTCCAATAGCAACTGAAGGGCGCCACGTTGGCAACCGCTGCCCTGATACCAGCGCACCCTGGTGCCAAGGAGCGAACCCCCCTCATACTTCGCACAAACTGGGTTGAGGATCGGATGTGACAGAGGGTTCCTTTGCTGGGTGGAACCACCAGTTCAAAGAGCAAGCAGACCGATCCCCCAACCGCAAGTACTTTCGGAGTCTGGACTCTAAGCCGCAGCCGCTCAGAAGCAAGTCGCATCGATTTCCCTGAGACTGTCTTCCCGTTAAGCACGTCTGAGCTTGCATCGTTAAATCCCATTGATCCCAGTGGCAGAGGGTTTAAATAAGTCCCCTTCCCGAAATCAAGAGGATTTGAAAAGCCTTTATCCTGGGTAGGATCCTGTCCATGCTATAAAGTCGGTGGCTATAAAGTTTCAGTCACAGGGAATGGGCTGGGGGTGGGAGAGCCGAAAATGACACCCCTTCACACACACACACACACACACACACACACACACCCCAACTTCCACTATAGACCTTTATCGAGAAATAATGGATTGCTCTTTCTTCGCCGCTAGTTAACCGCACCTTGAGAGAAAAGTTGTTATTCAGCGAAATCAGATGCGATTTGCACTTAGGGCCAAGGAGACTCCGTTAATAAATAAGCATTCAGACGACAACAACAAAAATCCGCCTAGAAACGGCGAAGCGTCGACGCAGGCGTTTTCATATTGCTCATTTATTATCAGTAATAAGCGCGCGTAAGACAGCCCTGCTGCGTAACAATGCGGGGTGCGCGATTTTGAAAAGAAATGAGAAAAGGCGGGGGGGGGTTAGTAGTTGGGCAGTGGGAAATGGAAACCTCGGAGAGTCCCGGGGGGGGGGGAGTCAGCCATTCAGGAGCAGGCGATCCCCCCAAAGCGCGGAGAGCTGGAGACAGGGATCCAGGAGTTCTCATTTCATGGCATACGCAGACCAAACTCCAGGAGAAAAGGCGAGCGAGCCTTCAAAAACGTACAAAACGTCCCATTTCTAGCTAAACGCTCCGGATAGTTCCTTGGCGGTGTCAAATTAGGAGGGATCTCTTTGTCACACAGACTGTATTATGTTTCGCTCTTGGAAATGCATGACAGCAATGTGGTGTTGCTTTTTTTGAAGCCATACAAAAATTATGCAAATCGACCCAAAAGCAAGGGCTCCCCTTTTGAAATGGTAATGCGCTATTCATTAATCACTTATTGGAAAACGAGCCGCTCTTTCCCCCGCCCTTCAGCCGCCCCTCTTTTTATTATTGTTTTGTATGGAAAGCAACATTGTATATTCGGAGGAAAAGCAAAAGGTGGAAACACTATATTTAAAAATTAGATAATAGATATAATATTTTGAGCTTTGCCATTTTTCTCGCAATTGTAATTTTATTTTATTTCTTAACACAGCTACTCAGGAGGAAATACTGCACATAACCGAGGATTCGCCTTCGCGGATCCTGAACGGCGTGCGCAAGACTCTTATCGCAGGCGCATTATTCTGAAAGTAAATCCCACCGATATCAATGGGACTTAATTCTAAGTAATAGACTCTTTGGGTCAGGGTGAGACCGAGACCCGAGAGAGCACACTGCCTCCTTGCAAGAGGGGAAAACAGACGTTTTGCAGCCCACCCAGTAAGAATGAATGCGAGAAGTCTCAACTTTGACTGGCGCGTACCCGCAATCCCCCCACCCCCGCTTGTTTCTAATTGTAACATCCAGCAGTTTAACGCGCAAGCACCCCAGCAAACAAGCAGCAATAACGGGGGTGGAGATATCTCCCCCATAGCCTCTTTCCGACTAGAAACGTGTCCCTGGTTAGAGCTAGAAATCCGCGCGCGCCTTCCAACGCGCCTTTCCTCGGGTCTCCAGCGCCGCAAAAGGAAGCGGCCCTTCTAACATTTCAAAAAAAGGGGGGGTCGAGGGAAGCCACGTTTCGTCGCTTCTCCGATTTTGACGGGGAGGAAAGTCATCTCGGGGGGCTTGCTGACGTTCTAATTAATTTCGCCTTCCCAAATTGCCAGCTGCTTCGAGAGTAAGAAGGATGGGGGGGGGGGAGAGGCGTGCGTAGCCCGTACCCAACACAGGAGGCAGTTGGCGCCTCTGCTCCAAACCCCTTTCCCTGCAGGTAAGTCCCCAACTGGATTTCGAGGTGATTTCGAATCACTTGCCAGTTAAGAGGAGGAAACAGCCAATCGTGGGCGATTGCATTGGCATTTCTAGAATCACCCGCTACTTGCAATTCTACCCTAAAGATACCCGCATCTTGTGGCGGACTTTTAAGCCACTCGGGGCTGCTTGAAGAAAGTGGTCACTGAGATCAGGATTCCCATCCGCCCGCCCAAATATATGAATATTTGACCCTTGCGGAAAGGGTCCGCGAGGCAGATTTCCCTCTTTTGCGCACGTTGGCACAGGGCTGGCTGGCGGGAACTGGGATGGGTATGGGTGGTGCGGAGAAGACCTGCTTGCTGAAGCCACCTATTCGTGCGGCTGTCTCTAGCACCCTCAGTCGGGCTCTTGGCCCAGAGAGCGCAGTTGTCACTCTACACTTCCAAAGAGCGTAGATTCAGCTCCCACCAAGCTATAGTGTCCGCGATCACTTCTAATTCCAAGTGTCCTTCTGCTGAATTTGAACACCACCACCCCCACACACCTTGACCCCACCCCCACCCGCCTGCTGACAGCAAGTTGTTGCTTCGAAACAGATTCGACTTCCGAATCAGAACGCCATCTGGCAAACTGGGCAGAAGCGCGTCAACGCGGCTTATACGCGCAGAGACATTTCAGATGTTTCTGTTTTGTCTACACGGAATCATTTATGGATCCGATTAGCATTCTTGCTTTACATACCACGGCTCTCGTTAATGCCTCGAGAGCATGGCCCCTAAATCTTAACTGTTTGGGTAGGGGATGAAGGGTTGCAGTAAGAAAATGGATCTATAGCAAGGCCTTTAGACGGGCGCTCCAGGCGCAGGACCCTCGCCTTTACAGATAGGCGTGTGGATTATAGCACTTTCAGATGGACTTTGGGCCATACAGAAAACAGGACAAGTAATGAAGGAGCCCTCCCCCAGTGGATCTGAAGCAAGCTCTTCATCCACAGGATATTAACCATGGTGTGAATGTATTCCAGAAATTAACTGGGGGGTGGGTGCCCAAAATGCTTCTTGGTGAGCATTTTGAGAAAAAGGACCTTGGTGCGTTTGGCCCTCAACCCAGAAGTGCGAAGGTCTTAAGAGCTGGTGAAAATACGCTGGGGAGAGTGTTTTAAGCAAGTGGTTTAGATACAATTAAATGTCACTTTAATGGCGAGCGGTAGACAGAATAATGGCACAATCCTTGTTTTTATTTTCCACTGGGGTGGCAGGGATGCTGCTACCTGCAAATGGGCCCGCTCCAATTTGACCTCTCCCACCCCACGAACCAGCACACCGGAGTCAGCTTTCTCGTGCCAAGCGCGGCTTCTGCTGTTCACCGCCCGATCCTAAACGCGTCTCCTTGCATTCCACACGTCCGGCCCTTTTCTGCGCGTTTACTTGGCACTCGGCCCCACTTCAGGCCGAGATCTTGCGTCCCAACGGAGCCATTCGGGGTTTTCTTCCGACTGCCCAGATTTTTAAGATCGCGCCTTGCAAAGCGCTTCATCCGCCCTCCCCCTGGGCGCGTCTCTTCGGAACCCAGCGGGCATAGGATCGCAACTCTCTTCCTTTGACGCACTGCGAGGCATGATCAGCCCGGGGCTGCGCTAGTCCGAAGCCGGAAGGCGCGCATGCCCGTTGGCCAGGCCCGCGCCTCGTGCCTGCGAGGAACACCTCGGAGCCCTCCCGGCCTCCCTCCCTCGGCGCAGCTCTGCGACCACGTGACGCTATATAACCTCCAGGCCCGGCCGGCGGGCGGGCGGGAGGAGGTGGGGAGCACGAGACAAGGACGTCTTTGGTCGCTCGGCCAGCTTCTTCAGCCGCAGCCACAGCGCCCCATCCTCTCGCGCGCGCTCTCTCTCCTCCTCCCTTCAGGCGCCGGGGGCGGGGCTTCATTCCATGTTCTCTCGCTGGCCGGGAGTCCCGCCCCAGTTCTTCCTTCCTTCCTTCGGTGGGTAAGAAGCCGGGCGAGGAGGGGCGTGTCCTCCTCCGCATGCAAATGAGCCGCCGTGACGGACAGCTCGCCTTGCCAATGCCCCGGCGAAACTCCTCTCCTCACAAAACTCCTCGCCTCGCAGACTCCCTTATGCCCGCGCCGAAAGCTGGTCGCGCCGGGCGCCGGGGGGGAAAGCTCGCCTCGCTCGCCTCACGGGGGGCGGCTCGCGAGCGCGCCGACCAGACCAGCCGCCGGGGCTGGCCGGCCGTCGCGGCGGCCGCTTGCCTGGTCGAGGCTGCTTTTGCCTCTCGCGCGCGCTCTGCTCGGCCGCCCCTTCCCCGCCCGGGCTGGGGAAGACGTCTCCTCCTCCTCCTCCTGCTCCTCCGCCTCCATTTTCCCCGCGCGCTCCTCTTGCCCAGATGCCCGCCGCCTCCTCCAGCCGCGGGTGACTTCTGCGTGGGAAAGCAGGAGCGCGGGCGAGCGCGCGCGGCGGCGGCGGCGGCGGGCGCGCGCGCGCTCCCGGGACGTGCGAGAGGCTTTCCCTCAGCCTCGCGCCGAGCTCTCCTTTTGGCTGGCGCTCCTCCCGCCTATGGAGGGGACGCTGTGAGCTCCTCAGCGGCGGCAGCGAGCGAGCGGCGGCGGCGGCGGCGGCGCCCGTAAGCTGAAGCGCCCGCAGTCGTCCTCCGCTCGCCTCAGCCCAGGCCCCTTCCTCGCTCGCGCTCGCTCGCTGCCCGTGGGCCAGCCATGTCCTACCCTCAGGGCTACCTCTACCAGCCCCCGGGCTCGCTGGCGCTCTACTCGTGCCCGGCTTACGGGGCGTCGGCGCTGGCGGCGCCCCGGAGCGAAGAGCTGGCCAGGTCGTCTTCGGGCTCGGCGTTCAGCCCTTACCCCGGATCCGCCGCCTTCACCGCCCAAGCGGCAGCCACCGGCTTCAGCAGCCCGCTCCAGTACTCCACCGACCCGGCCACGGGATTCCCCTCCTACATGGTGGGTAACGGACCGGACAGCCCAGCCGCCTCCATCTTCATCCTCCTCCTCCATCGCTTCCCCCGCTCGCAGCGCCGAGGCTGCCCGGGCTGGGCTGGGGGGTCGTGGGGATGCCGCCCGCCCGACACGCCGGGCAACCCGCGTTAGGCACACACACGGAAGCGCTCCTCTCGACTTTCCTCCTTCGCTTCCCCCTCTTTCGTTGCTTCGCTTCTTTATCCATCTTCTCATTCCTCCCACCCTCCCCCTTTCTTTCCTTCTTTCCATCTCCCTCACTTCTTTCTCTTGCCAATTTATTTCCTTTATTCTTTTCTCCTCGCTCACTTTCATTTTCTGACATCCGTATCCTCCCCCACTTTCCCCTTCGATCTCTTTAGCGCTTCTCTCATATATATATATATAGAAATCTATGTGATTTACCGGGGCGGCGGGGAGGCTTTCGACCGATGGACAGGAGTCCAAGCTGAAACTCGATTAAAGGTGTTGTTTATTTATTTTTATTTATTTGCTGCTGGGGGAGAGAAGAGAGAGGGCTCCTCTTCGGACGGATTTCCACCTCCTCCTCGCGCTTCCTTCCGAGCACGTCTGTGCTGGCGATCGCGCGTGTTTTTGCAGCTCTTGCAAACCGACGAAGGATTAAAGCTAGCGGAGCCAATTGGTCCTGGGAAAGTGGGGCAAAGGGTTCGTTTTGTTTCACTACACAAGAGATATCAGATCGAGCTGCCTTTGGCTGGAGTCGTCTCTCCTCCCCCCCCCCCCCAACCTTTTCTCCCAGCCTGGCGATCTTTATTTAGGATAATGGGAGCCGATCTCAAACGCTCCTCTGTTTGACTTTCTCGTGGCAGAAGAAAAGCAGTCGCAAGTTGCCAAGCCTTATTGTTCCCGGGCTATTTAGGAACATTAGGTACATTCGGAGCGCTGTGTTTAGCTTGGTTTCCTGGACCGACTCCGAAAGTTATCAAGTTGGCTCAACTAATTCCTCTCTCTCCCCCCCCCCCCTTTCTCTTCTCTCTCTCCTCACCCTCGTATTATGCAGACTTTAAATCAGCGCAATTTAAACGTTTAAAGGGCGAATTAAAATGCTAATTATATCGCATTTGACCAATTCGAAACGGTGCATATCTTCTGGTTTGCAAATTGGATTTGCAATGCATTAGCGAAGTGAATTGCTAAGTGGGGGGCTTTGTTGTCTCTCTCTCTCTCTCCTCTCTCTCTTTCTTTCTCTCTCTCTCTTTCCTGTATGGCAACAGAGGAAATATCGTTGCAACCATGTGTGGAGGCGGAGGAGGAGGAGGAGAGGGAGAGGAAAAGTAGAAAGCTATCATTTTAAGAAACTACCTGTAGGGCCTTTGGAGGGAGAAAATAAAAATGTCTGCGTTGAATTGCAATAAACTGCAACGAAGACATCAGCAGTTTTCAGAGGGAAGAAGGGATTCGAATGCCCTCTGGATACTTTATTTTTTTCTTCTTGAGTAATAATAAGGCAGGAGTGCTCGGCACTACAATTAAGAAATAATAACATTGTTCGCTGGAGTGATTGCATTACATTAGTGTAAAATGTAATAGTCGCTCCCGTGGCGTTGCCTGCTAGCTGGTGGCTGCCAGCTCTTCCGAAATGCCTAACGCCCTTGCTTTTGTGCTTGGCAGGGCTCCCCTTACGATGCCCACGCGACGGGCATGAGCGGGGCCATCAGCTACCACCCTTACGGTAGCCCAGCTTACCCCTACCAGCTGAACGACCCCGCTTACCGCAAGAACGCCACGCGGGACGCCACGGCCACGCTGAAGGCCTGGCTGCAGGAGCACCGCAAGAACCCCTACCCGACCAAAGGCGAGAAGATCATGCTGGCCATCATCACCAAGATGACCCTCACGCAGGTCTCCACCTGGTTCGCCAACGCCAGGAGGAGGCTCAAGAAGGAGAACAAGATGACCTGGGCGCCGCGCAACAAGAGCGAGGACGAGGACGAGGACCTCGACGCCGGCGGCGGGATCCGAGGCAAGGAAGAGGAGGCGCTGCCGTCGGACAAAGGCCGCGACAGCAACGAGACGTCGGCCGAGGATGAAGGTGAGGGAGGAACAGGCTGGTTTCGTGGGGCAGGGAGGCATGTCATGGGCCTGCGTGGAGCCCTGCAGCCCGACCCGGTGCAGGTCTACCTCGGAGTTCAGTGGGGCTTACTCGGAGGTAAGTGTGTGTGCGTGCGCGCGCGCGAGGGGGATTATTCCAGGCTGGAGGGGCAGCATCCACGCATTGCACTGCGCGCATCTTCCACATTCATCCCCAGGGATTCCGCTGCCGCCTGCACTTTCTCTTTTCAAGACAGCGGGGAACGCCGTTCCTTGCGAAGTAAGCGCCGCGGAGCGGAGTGAAGCTTGCTTCCCCGTAGGCGCTTGCTCCGGGATAATGCCGTGTAAACCGCGGTAGTTATCCCCCTTCCAGGTAAACAGGCTTGAAGGATCTCAAGCCTTCGGAGCGCTTCAGGGACATTGTCTCGGGCAGTGCTTGCAGCGGCTTTGGAAAGGAGATGAGGACGAGGAATTATTTGTAGCAGAAGCACACGACGGGGGGGCAGAGGAGGCTGAAGGCCGCTTCTCAATAAAATGTGGTTTTTTGGGGGGGCAAGTAAGCCCTGCCACACATAAGCGATCACAAGTAGCGGGGCACGCACACAATTTGAATGGCAATGCCCATCATCTTTGGGCGGGCCGAGCCCACTCAAATATTTTATTGGGGAGGGGGGTTCGAAGGGACCTTGGCCCCTAGGAGTTGGCTCCTATCTCAAGCTTGTGCCTTATGCCGACACCTGAACCCACGGCCGGGCCGTCCGATTCACCTATCGTGGAAGCTAAGAGGCCCTCAAGAGGCCTATGGATCCGAGGGGATTTCGCAGGAGATCATCTCTGGGGGGCCTGGAGTGTAGAAGGGGGTGGGGAGCGGGGGGGGAGTGCTCCGATTGTTTGCCACCTGTTTTGGGGGTGACGGGGAGCCTGAGGTTTAGGAGACGGGGTGCTGCGCTCTCCTCCTCCCGCTGCTGCTGCCGCCGCCGGTGCCTCCGCCTGGTTTCCTTGACGGTTCCCCTGGTTCTCTGCCGCAGGGATCAGCTTGCAGGTGGACTCGCTCACCGACCACTCCTGCTCGGCCGAATCGGACGGCGAGAAGGCCCCTTGCGGCGCCGGGGACCCGCTCTGCGAGTCCGGCTCGGAGTGCAAGGACAAGTACGAGGAGATCGACGAGGACGAGGACGACTGGAGGAGGAGGACGACGACGACGACGAGGAGGAGGACGACGACGAGGCAGCGGCGGACAGGGGTCTTCCCTCCAAGCCCGTCACCTCCTCCCCTCTCACCGGGGTGGAAGCCCCTCTGCTGGGTCACCCGCACGCCGAGGACTCCGCGCGCAACGCCAACAAAGCCGCTTTTGGACGCCCGCATGGCCCCGACGGCGGCTTCGCAAACCACGCCGGCCAGCAAGCCCAAGCTGTGGTCGCTGGCGGAAATCGCCACCTCGGACCTTAAGCACCCTCAGCACCCTCAGCACCACCACCACCACCCTCACCACCCGCACAACCTGGGCCAGAGCTGCCAGCCGCCGGTGCCGCCCTCTTCCACCCCGCACAACGCTGCCTACTCGCCCTCCTCTCTCCTGGGGAGGCATATTTATTACACCTCGCCTTTTTATAGCAACTACACAAACTATGGGAACTTCAACGCCCTCCAGGGTCAGGGCATCCTGAGGTACAACTCCGCCACGGTGGCCTCCAGCCGAGGGCTAAGTCAGACCGTCTTAAGCAGCGCGGCGGGCGGCAGCAGCTCGGTGCACAAGCAGGGCTCGGAGAACGCTTTGAAAACCATCGCGAGCCACCTAGAACAACATTACAAGCCTTCCAATCCAGACTCCAAAAAAGGTAGGTGTTTCCTGGCTAGGTTTTCTTTTCTACTGAGGAATAATGTGGGGCGCAAATTTACCCTAACCCCCCCCAAAAAAAATCACAATAAGGTGGGTGCTACAAGCAAGAAGGCAATGGTGGTTTCTGACAGTCCAGGTACAAAACTCTTTTTCGAAACTGCAATCCAGGTCACAGTTCTTCTGCTTGGAATTCCATAGATTTTAATGTTGTTGTTGTGTCGTCGTCAAAGCAGCCCTTTTGTGTGGGATTGCAGCCCGAAGCTGTGGTCAGGCCTCTGAAGAAGAGGATCTAACAGAAAAACGCTGAGATTTGCCTTCCAGTTATGAATGTGATTAGGAACATAATGTAAATAAATTGCTCCGTGTAATTAAAATGCCTCTAAAAATCACTAAAAACTCCTTGAACCTGTATATAATCTGAAAATATTTGCAGAAAGTTTATTCCTTGTTTTTGTTGCTAAGAGGGGAGAAATAACAGCAAGGGAGAATATTGTTTTGGCAATATTCCCAAGCAAAAAAAGAGAACAGTTTCAGGTTTGGGAGAGAGAGGAAACACAGTACAGTGTGAAGCAGAGAGAAGTCTGATAGCTTGTGCCGAAGTATATTTACTCGAAGTAACCCCCCCCCCTTGAGTAGAATGGGACCGAATCTAAAGGCAATTCATTTAGGATTGCAGCTTCAGTTCTCTGCTCCTTCAAACTTCCATTATTGGTCTGAGACATTGCTACAAGTTATGCTAAATTTAAAACAAGTAATTAAGAATGCTGGCCCTTCGAAGGAGTTAACTCCCAGATCCGCTGAGAAATGCCAGCTCAAGAAAAGGCCTTCCAAGGGCTGCACTGGGGTTTTGTGCAAGAGGGAGCTAGGCTGTGCCCAGAGTGTATAATCTAGTTAGCCAGCTGTGTCCTGTGACTAACTGACGCTTCTATTTTGACAGACCCCACTGAAGTGTGCACAGTAGGACTACAACCATACCTATAGAAGTGCAATCACACAGCAGCCAGGCAAGTAAGTGAGACCAGCTCCTTTTCTCCTTCTTTCTCCTTCTATTCTGTTACACCGCTTAGGAGGATCATTTGGCATCAGCTCCAGAAACATATTGCTCAGCCTGCAAATTTGCTTAATGTTAATTGCTTGCTTCATTACCAAAAGAGCATTATTACAAAGAAAGCCTATTGCATTTTCACCTTTCCTTTTTTGTTGTTTTTTTGGAGAAATCAGTTCAATTATTTCACACAAGCCTCTTGCTTTTTTTAAAAAAATGAAAGTTGTGTATTTTCAATAAATATTTAAATCACAGGGGTTTTTTTTATTTCCCCAAATTATTATTGGCAAATTGAAACTGCAGTCGACTGGGAACTCCTCCTACATAAGGCCCCGTCGAAATATATGGGCGGATAGTTGTGTGTTCCTCTTGGAAGCCAGCCAGAATTCATCTCATTGTCCCTCTGTACTATTTGAAATGTATATAATACGGAAGCAGAACGAGAGAAGAAGGGACAGAGGAGGGCGCACGGGGCTCGCAAGCGCTCGAGCGAGAGGGGCGCGGCAGGGGCCACGAGCGGGTAGCCTGGTTCGCGTCCCCCACAGCCTCCTCCAATCGGGGAGGCGAAGAACGATTCTCAGACCGGCCTACAGGTCGCGAGACACAGGGTGATGGGTGGGCAAGCGCCTTGCTGGGGTCACGCCCGCAGCGCCACGTTCAAATGCACAGGAAAGTGGCCGCAGCTAGGCAGCCCGGAACGGGAGCCAGGTCCTAAAGCCCTGGGCGCCAGGAGAACACCATGCGAGCGGGGCCCGGGGGGTCAGACACCGTAGCACAGCCAGTCCAAGGAAGGCCAAACTTTGAGACTCGGACCGGACCCGGCAGGCAGGGGCAGAGGGACGGCAGAGAAGAACAGTCAGCCCGACGGGCGGGCTACCAGAGGCCGCAAACAACGGGCTGAGGACATACTAAGGTTGCTAGCGTAGCAGGGGGCGGAGACTCAGACGGAGCTCTCGCAAGCCGTGTTTGTCCTATCGGCTGGGCGGGGAAAATCGGCCGCACATCAAGACGTAGAGTTGCCACGCATGTTCCAGGTGTGAGAATGGATAACTAGATGGACTCAATACAACCACGACCTTTTACCAACTAGAACGCGCTGGCTACGCGCGGTGATCCCACCTCTGTAGAGCTAGGATCTGGCACAGCAGCTCTGACAGTAAGCTCCCCTCTCACGTTGTGAAACTCCTTCAGCCTCGACCAGAAGCACATGAGGAAGAAGGGGCGGCTGAAACCCTTGAATTGCAATAAACTGCAACGAAGACATCAGCAGTTTTCAGAGGGAAGAAGGGATTCGAATGCCCTCTGGATACTTTATTTTTTTCTTCTTGAGTAATAATAAGGCAGAAGTGCTCGGCACTACAATTAAGAAATAATAACATTGTTCGCTGGAGTGATTGCATTACATTAGTGTAAAATGTAATAGTCGCTCCCGTGGCGTTGCCTGCTAGCTGGTGGCTGCCAGCTCTTCCGAAATGCCTAACGCCCTTGCTTTTGTGCTTGGCAGGGCTCCCCTTACGATGCCCACGCGACGGGCATGAGCGGGGCCATCAGCTACCACCCTTACGGTAGCCCAGCCTACCCCTACCAGCTGAACGACCCCGCTTACCGCAAGAACGCCACGCGGGACGCCACGGCCACGCTGAAGGCCTGGCTGCAGGAGCACCGCAAGAACCCCTACCCGACCAAAGGCGAGAAGATCATGCTGGCCATCATCACCAAGATGACCCTCACGCAGGTCTCCACCTGGTTCGCCAACGCCAGGAGGAGGCTCAAGAAGGAGAACAAGATGACCTGGGCGCCGCGCAACAAGAGCGAGGACGAGGACGAGGACCTCGACGCCGGCGGCGGGATCCGAGGCAAGGAAGAGGAGGCGCTGCCGTCGGACAAAGGCCGCGACAGCAACGAGACGTCGGCCGAGGATGAAGGTGAGGGAGGAACAGGCTGGTTTCGTGGGGCAGGGAGGCATGTCATGGGCCTGCGTGGAGCCCTGCAGCCCGACCCGGTGCAGGTCTACCTCGGAGTTCAGTGGGCTTACTCGGAGGTAAGTGTGTGTGCGTGCGCGCGCGCGAGGGGGATTATTCCAGGCTGGAGGGGCAGCATCCACGCATTGCACTGCGCGCATCTTCCACATTCATCCCCAGGGATTCCGCTGCCGCCCCTGCACTTTCTCTTTTCAAGACAGCGGGGAACGCCGTTCCTTGCGAAGTAAGCGCCGCGGAGCGGAGTGAAGCTTGCTTCCCCGTAGGCGCTTGCTCCGGGATAATGCCGTGTAAACCGCGGTAGTTATCCCCTTCCAGGTAAACAGGCTTGAAGGATCTCAAGCCTTCGGAGCGCTTCAGGGACATTGTCTCGGGCAGTGCTTGCAGCGGCTTTGGAAAGGAGATGAGGACGAGGATTATTTGTAGCAGAAGCACACGACGGGGGGGCAGAGGAGGCTGAAGGCCGCTTCTCAATAAAAATGTGGTTTTTTGGGGGGGGCAAGTAAGCCCTGCCACACATAAGCGATCACAAGTAGCGGGGCACGCACACAATTTGAATGGCAATGCCCATCTTTGGGCGGGCCGAGCCCACTCAAATATTTTATTGGGAGGGGGGTTCGAAGGGACCTTGGCCCTAGGAGTTGGCTCCTATCTCAAGCTTGTGCCTTATGCCGACACACTGAACCCACGGCCGGGCCGTCCGATTCACCTATCGTGGAAGCTAAGAGGCCTCAAGAGGCCTATGGATCCGAGGGGATTTCGCAGGAGATCATCTCTGGGGGGCCTGGAGTGTAGAAGGGGGTGGGGAGCGGGGGGGGAGTGCTCCGATTGTTTGCCACCTGTTTTGGGGGTGACGGGGAGCCTGAGGTTTAGGAGACGGGGTGCTGCGCTCTCCTCCTCCCGCTGCTGCTGCCGCCGCCGGTGCCTCCGCCTGGTTTCCTTGACGGTTCCCCTGGTTCTCTGCCGCAGGGATCAGCTTGCAGGTGGACTCGCTCACCGACCACTCCTGCTCGGCCGAATCGGACGGCGAGAAGGCCCCTTGCGGCGCCGGGGACCCGCTCTGCGAGTCCGGCTCGGAGTGCAAGGACAAGTACGAGGAGATCGACGAGGACGAGGACGACGTGGAGGAGGAGGACGACGACGACGACGAGGAGGAGGACGACGACGAGGCAGCGGCGGACAGGGGTCTTCCCTCCAAGCCCGTCACCTCCTCCCCTCTCACCGGGGTGGAAGCCCCTCTGCTGGGTCACCCGCACGCCGAGGACTCCGCGCGCAACGCCAACAAAGCCGCTTTGGACGCCCGCATGGCCCCGACGGCGGCTTCGCAAACCACGCCGGCCAGCAAGCCCAAGCTGTGGTCGCTGGCGGAAATCGCCACCTCGGACCTTAAGCACCCTCAGCACCCTCAGCACCACCACCACCACCCTCACCACCCGCACAACCTGGGCCAGAGCTGCCAGCCGTCGGTGCCGCCCTCTTCCACCCCGCACAACGCTGCCTACTCGCCCTCCTCTCTCCTGGGGAGGCATATTTTATTACACCTCGCCTTTTTATAGCAACTACACAAACTATGGGAACTTCAAGCCCTTCCAGGGGTCAGGGCATCCTGAGGTACAACTCCGCCACGGTGCCTCCAGCGAGGGGCTAAGTCAGACCGTCTTAAGCAGCGGTGGCGGCGGCAGCAGGCTCGGTGCACAAGCAGGGCTCGGAGAACGCTTTGAAAACCATCAGCGAGCCACCTAGAACAACATTACAGCCTTCCAATCTCCAGACTCCAAAAAAGGTAGGTGTTTCCTGGCTAGGTTTTCTTTTCTACTGAGGAAAATGTGGGGCGCATAAATTCTACCCTACCCCCCCCCAACAAAAAATTCACATAATGGTGGGTGCTAACAAGCAAGAAGGCAATTGGTGGTTTCTGACAGTCCAGGTACAAAACTCTTTTTTCGAACTGCAATCCAGGTCACAGTTCTTCTGCTTGGAATTCCATAGATTTTAATGTTGTTTTGTTGTCGTCGTCAAGCAGCCCCTTTTGTGTGGATGCAGCCCGAAGCTGTGGTCAGGCCTCTGAAGAAGAGGATCTAACAGAAAAACGCTGAGATTTGCCTTCCAGTTATGAATGTGATTAGGAACATAATGTAAATAAATTGCTCCGTGTAATTAAAATGCCTCTAAAAATCACTAAAAACTCCTTGAACCTGTATATAATCTGAAAATATTTGCAGAAAGTTTATTCCTTGTTTTTGTTGCTAAGAGGGGAGAAATAACAGCAAGGGAGAATATTGTTTTGGCAATATTCCCAAGCAAAAAAGAGAACAGTTTCAGGTTTGGGAGAGAGAGGAAACACAGTACAGTGTGAAGCAGAGAGAAGTCTGATAGCTTATGCCTAAGTATATTTACTCGGAAGTAAACCCCCCCCCCCAGTAGAATGGGACCGAATCTAAAGGCAATTCATTTAGGATTGCAGCTTCAGTTGTCTGTCTCCTTCCAAGTTCCATTATTGGTCTGAGACATTGCTACAAGTTATGCTAAAATTTAAAACAAGTAATTAAGAATGCTGGCCCTTCGAACGAGTTAACTCCCAGATCCGCTGAGAAATGCCAGCTCAAGAAAAGGCCTTCCAAGGGCTGTGCTGGGGTTTTGTGCAAGAGGGAGCTAGGCTGTGCCCAGAGTGTATAATCTAGTTAGCCAGCTGTGTCCTGTGACTAACTGACGCTTCTATTTTGACAGACCCCACTGAAGTGTGCACAGTAGGACTACAACCATACCTATAGAAGTGCAATCACACAGCAGCCAGGCAAGTAAGTGAGACCAGCTCCTTTTCTCCTTCTTTCTCCTTCTATTCTGTTACACCGCTTAGGAGGATCATTTGGCATCAGCTCCAGAAACATATTGCTCAGCCTGCAAATTTGCTTAATGTTAATTTCTTGCTTCATTACCAAAAGAGCATTATTACAAAGAAAAGCCTATTGCATTTTCACCTTTCCTTTTTTGTTGTTTTTTTGGAGAAATCAGTTCAATTATTTCACACAAGCCTCTTGCTTTTTTTAAAAAAATGAAAGTTGTGTATTTTCAATAAATATTTAAATCACAGGGTT